TTTTAAAGCATTGAATTATAGTTTATTTACATTGTAAGATGACTTTAAAAAAAAAAGATTAAAAAAATAAAATATAACCCCTTTTTGATGGTGAATATATTTTCTTGGACAAATTTGCTTAAGGTCTTGATAACATTTTCTGAAAATCTGTAATATTTAGAAATTCAATGTTTCACATTATTTCGTAGGGCAAACTTTTTAATGAAAATTATTGTATATTATAGGTTGCATAACAATTTAATTAAATAAATACAAGATAAAATTGTAATAAATGTTTACAGATTATTATATACCATATTTTCTGTATAACTATTAATCTATATGTTGTCTTTTAGGCATTGTAATGAGCAAAATGAAGTATATAGATATATATAATTATATAAAGAAAAATGGACTTTCTATGCAAGACAATTTAATATGTGATAATATAGTGCATAACTTATATAAAGGAAATGAAAAGAAAGGCTATATAAAAGTGCAAGTTTAAAATTTACTAAAAAATATGAAAATTCGATGTAACTCTGCTTATCACAAAGCAGAAGCTTTTGAACTTAAAAATAAAAACTGGTTAAATAATAAATTTATTGATTGTTCTAGTCACAGTCCAGGTCCAGGGAGACCTCAATCTAATTTTCTTCACTTTAGTTTAACGCAAAAGTATAGAAGGAAAAGCAAATTTACTGAACATTCTTCAGATACTTTACTGTTTTAAAAACTGCCTTAAATAAAGAAAACAAATTATAAAAAGTAGCAGCAATTAAAAGCATAATTGATGAAAAGCCAACAACACAACTAACTCCTGAAATAGCTTTGGCCTTAATTCTTGATACTAACATGACAAAAAAATCTTATCAATTGCACAGAAACATTGCACTAGAACATTCATTTAATTTCTATCCAGCATATAATCTTGTTAGATTTGCAAAGGAGTCCTGTTACACTGATTAATTTGTACATCAGACACTGTTATAACCTCCATTAGAAAAAAAATCACATGAAAAACATCTGCATTTCCTCCTGGAACAATAGAACTATTTGATTGTAATATTTGATTTTTTTAAGCTTATCAATATTGTTTCTGCAGTAACTTCTCCATGTGTTGCTTTCTGTCAAATTTTCATACTTATTGTTTTATTAGCATTTGTTTACAATTTTCTCTGTTAGCATATACTTATGTATATTTAAAATTTTTTAGAGAATGAATTTTTAAATTTTGAAAATATTTTTTTTAATTTTATACTTTATGTAAAATTTCAAAAATGTTAAATTTTAGTAAATATTTTTTTTAGTAAATACTTTTTATTAAAAAACTGTTTTTTAATATACCTGTATTTAGTAAAGTTATCCTTAGCATAATTACATAAAAAAAATAATTTTGTCATAAATTTAAGCATTTTGCCCCACTGTGCATCATATAGTCTAGAAAAACCAAATTTTCTAAAAAAATATCAAATTTTAGGTACCAAAAGAAAATTTAAGATAAAACTAAATGCACACTGAACCAATTAAAATTTGAAGTCTTTAAACCGGATCCCTGATTTTCAGGATCAATTAATTAAAAAACAACGTTTTCACCTCTGATTTTTAATAATTTCTTCAGTACTGTATATATATATATATATATATATATATATATATATATATATATATATATATATATATATATATATATATATATATATATATATATATATATATAATATATATATATATATAATATATATATATAATATATATATATATATATATATATATATATATATATATATATATATATATATATATATATATATATATATATATATAATTCACACAAAAAAAGTACCGTTTACAATATAGTAAAAATTATTATAATAGTATTTTTGTAAAGAAACAGGACAATAGTATTTCAATTCCAAGCAGAGACCTTAAAAAAGAACTAAGGAAAAAAAATTTATAATAAAAGAGGGAAAAAAAACACACACACTCGCACACACATATAGTGATTATATATTTGGAGTAAATTAGCAAGACAGTTAGTAGTAAAATATATATATATATATAAATATATATATATTTTAAATAATATATATATATATATATTTTTTATATAAAAAAAAATATATATATATATTTTATATATAAAACATTCATCTAATTTTTTCTTTGATAGGCTGTTTTTTCTTCTGTAAGTTCATAAAGAACCTACATGATGAACCTACAGGAAGAAAATTAGCCTGTCTATATATATATATATATATATATATATATATATATATATATATATATATATATATATATATATATATATATATATATAAACCTAATTTTGTCTTTTAGAAAGGAAACAAAATGACACACTTTTATCAACATTTTTCTTGCTTATGCTGAAAATTAGTAGCTGTGCAAAATCTGGCAGAGATTAGCCAATTCAAATTAAAAGAAAAATACATTAAAATTGATTGAATCATGCAATAACAAAGTAAAAATAGTAATTTCGTAATACTATTTTGTTGTTTGTGTTTACAATCTGGCTGTACTACACATCCCAGAAGTCTTTGTGTTAGCAATTACAAGAGCATTATGCAAATTTTAGCGAGTCATACCCCACTGGTTATAACTTTAATTCAGAACTTTTTAAATTTAAAAACCAAACAAAACTGAGGTTCCCATATAGTCATTATATTTCTTTACTTTTTTATAGTAATTAGGTAACTAGGCCATAGATTCTATAGCAATGGGAAAGACTCATTACCTAGGACTATGTAAAATTGGAACCCTGAACATAACAGAAGAAAGAAAAAAAAAATAGAAAAACTGTTGAGTAAAACATTTCTTTTAAAAATCATTGTGTGTTCTATTTTCATTATTGCAAAAAAGCAATGCTTAAAGGTAATGTCTGATTCTATATTCTTATTACCAAATTTTGCATTTTATTTTATTAGCTATCATGTAGGCTTTTAGAAATCTTTAACAGTGCCATTCACTAAGAATTGTTGTACATTTTATCATTTATGCATCTCTTTAGGTAGAATTTATATTTATTTTAATGAATTTATGAAATGTTATTTAGTTTTTTAGTAAATTGCTCCCATAAACCTTTTCAGGGGAGTGTGGACGAGTATATATATATATGTATATATATATATATATATATATATATATATATATATATATATATATATATATATATATATATATATATATATATATATATATTCTGGACAACAAATGCCAATATGTTTTTCGCTGTCAGGGAGAAGAGTTCTTACCACAATGCCTGATCAAGTCTGCTCAGCACCCAGTTTCAATAATGGTGTGGTCCATGATGTCAGTAACATATATGTATCTATATATATACATATACATACATATATATACATATACATATATATATATATATATATATATATATATATATATATATATATATATATATATATATATACATACTTTTTTTTTTACAAAAGAAAAATACAAAGTGAAAAAAAGGATCAAAACAATAAAAATATTAAAAATAATGGATAATCTATGTAATAATGGATATGATAATCTATGTAATAACGCTGAACTTGATAGTAGTAGTAGTGCCCATTCCTGCATGTTTGACATGGAACTCTTGGCAGCCATTGCAATTGGGGCAATGACAAAAAAGAGATTTTTTTGTCATTACCCCAAAGACACTTTTTTTTATAAGAAAATGTGAATGTATGTATTTTATAAGAAAATGTGAAAATGTATGCAATTATCTGACGTATATAAAATTCAAGTTTTGTAATGTTAGAACAATTATGTAATGTTAGAACAATTATGTAATGTTAGAACAATTATGTAATGTTAGAACATATATCAAATTTGGCAGTTTTACTTTTACTTGAAAATTACATTGTGGCATTAAGTAGATGTATTACCTCTACTTAATATTAATTTATAACATTTATTTGCTGTTTTATAAAGTCTTTTGTTTATTAAATTGTGTTACAACCAATACTCCTTAGTGGCCAAAGTGGTTATTTCACAACATTTCTGAGGTGCATTGTCATAATTCATATCCTTACACTTGCACTTTTTTTTTTTTTTTAATCTTTTTCAATTTTTTAAAATACAAAATAAAACGTTTTTGAAGTTCTATAGATATATACTATAACAAACAAAAAGAATAGAAATTTAAAATAGTCTAAAACTTCTAAAAACATCAAAACACAGGGAGAAATTTGTTGTGCATATGTAATGATAGAGATACTTATGTTATTAATGTACTCAGGAAATTGGCCCTAATAAGCTGCAGATGGTTGGAAAAAAAGTTATAGCTTGAAACTTAATAAAGAAAAAATTTAATAAGCCCATCCTGCTACTTCAGAAGGTGCTGCTGTAGAGGTAAAAAAAATTTTTTGCCTGTAGCTAGAAAAACATTAAAATTTTATTATAACAGTTAAAAGTATTTTTTGCTATATATATATTTTTTTGCTATAACTATATAAAGCAAGAAAAACTTATTACACTAAAAAGTTATTACACTTAGAGGAGGATTTGAACCCTCCAAAACATTCAAGACAGCACACTAAACCACTTAGCTATCGAAGATATGTGTTAAGGAAAAAACAAACCATTTTATAAATCTCTTATATGCTCTAAGTATGGGGAAAAGTTGCGCATGTATGTGCTCTAAGTATGGGGAAAAGTTGCGCATGTTGTTGCGCATGTTTTTTTTTTTGCTCTGAAATTTTTTAGAATTTGCTCTTGCTCTGGAAGCAAATTTTTAGAAATTTTTTAGTTTCTTATGAGCTCCAAACATAACAATAACACATTTTTTAGTAAGATTCTTATGAGCTCCAAACATAACAATAACACATTTTTTAGTTAGATTCTTATGAGCTCCAAACATAACAATAACACATTTCTCAACATAGCAATAACACATTTCTCAACAATTTAATAAAAAAAGTCTAATAAAAAAACATTATACCAAATAAAATATTAAAAAACATAGAAACAACAAAAAAGTTTAAAATCCTAAAAACCTTATATGCATTATATTAGCATCCATACTCCATGGATTTTCTTTAGTTATAGGCAATGGAATGTCATGCAACTAAATAAAGTTATATAACATATAACATTTAAAACTGGTTTTCAAAGTAAATCAATAGAAATTACAATTACTCTTGCTTTTATGTTTCAAAGAACAAAAAAAATCTAATAAGCTAATCTTATAGTTAAGCGGCCTTAAATAATTCTATTTTTGCACTCTCATTTGTAGAGACTTTAAAAACATAAAATATTTAATATAAATTTTGTAATTATTATTGTAAATATTTTTTATGATTAATAATAATAATTATTATAAATATGTAAATAATCATTAAAAATAATTTTTATCATATATTATTAATATTTTATTGATATGCATTTTTACACTTTTCTCCATTTTTTCAAAAACAAGAAATTTAATTATTTTAGGCCACTTAACTGTAAGATTACTTAAATATTTATGTTAAAATATACTTACATACATTATTAACGTCCCTTAAATATATATTTATGTTAAAATATACTGACATTATTAACATTCCTAAAAGTTCCAATAATAATTTTTTACTTTTACTCTTTTAGCCCTGATTTAACCATTTCAAAGACAAATTTACTTTTATATGACTGGACTGATTTTTTGTTTCTTTGCTGATAATTGTGCATCCTACTTAATCTCCTGGATCCAGACAGGTACGGAAGCTTTTATCTCTACTGGCTGGTTTTAAGTCAAGCTTCATTTAACCAATGGTTTTCACTTTCTTGTGCAACTGCTATTTCTAATTGTAAATAATTTTTTTTCATCTTTTTCACAACCAAAATTCTCTTGAGAACAAACACCATTATACTATTGCAAGAAATCAATGAAATAAGGTGCTGCCTTGACATTGAGGGTGTCTTAGAAAAAAAAAAAAAGCTTGGAAACAAGCTTTAACTCCACTGTGTTGTGTTGTATTGATATTGTTATAATAATAGATACACACTGCCAAGACTCAGGTCCCAATATTCTCAATTTACTATAACTTGTAACTTATCACAGAAGTTCAAGAACAAGGTTTGAGAGATTTTTAGAAAAGTGTTATTAACAAAGTCTTTTTTAATATTTTATTAATTTCAATATATTGAAGACTTTATTTAATATTTTATTAATTTCAATACACTGAAGACTTGTGATGCAAGTCTTTAATATATTACTGTATTATAACATATAATTAATGATTATAACATGATTATAACATACAATTAATGATTATAACATGATTATAACATATAATTAATGATTATAACATGATTATAACATATAATTAATGATTATAACATGATTATAACATATAATTAATGATTATAACATGATTATAACATACAATTAATGATTATAACATGATTATAACATATAATTAATGATTATAACATGATTATAACATACAATTAATGATTATATCATGATTATAACATATAATTAATGATTATAACATGATTATAACATATAATTAATGATTATAACAAAATAATATAACATACATTAAATGTCCTATTTTTTCCACCCTGGACAAAATTCAGTTATTTACAACTATTTACAATTGCAATATTGTTGATATTTCCATATCCTCTACTTTATACCTTGGATTACTCTTTTCTACAGATGTCTCCTGGAAGTTATTAACATAATCCATTGCATGTTTAGCACTTGCTAAGGTTGCCTCCATTTATTGTGCTTCTTATTTCTTTCTCCAGTGAACTTGTGAACTCAGCTTATTTACTTCAAACAATTATTGCAATACTGTTGATATTTTTATTAAGATATAAATGTTCGTACTGAGTCTACTTTAGGTGTCACTTCTACTTTACATCTTTTTAGATAATTTTTTCCAAACTCATAATTTTTTTAAGTCTTCTGCCAACCATTTTCTTGCTCTTCAACAATAGTCTTTGTTTTCTGGTATCTCCCAACATAAATAGTGGTTGCTAGAAGCCTTGTTGGGAATAAATTTCCTTTTGTTTTTTTAAAAAAAAGATCAACTTTGTTTCTGCACCATGAGCCAAATAAATGTAAAATTACCCAGCCAGCAGTAAAGGCTAACAAAAAATACAATAAACTAGTACCTTGGAACTTCACCTTAAATAGTGTAAAACTGATAAACTTAAATATCTCAGTATAATAAAGCGACAAATTTAAATACCTTTGCATAATCAAACAAAGCTGCTCTGCCTTGATATTTCTCATAAAACTCAGGAATTTTCCAAGGTGCAATTACCTAAAACAATAAAAAAATCTTTAAAGTTCAAAGAAATAATTTACTATTTAAAAAAAAATACTTTAACTTTGCTGAACTTAAATTTACATATATTTAACTCTTCGTTATTTGTTTGACTAATGCACAATGGAATTAACAGCCGATCACCGTCTAATTTTGGAGAAAATATTTTATATACTCCTAATATCAATTTTGGTCAATCTAATTTGATTGGCAAAAATTTCAAGGTAGACTTAATAACAAAAAATTGAGATACCTTTAAAAACAGAAATATGAAATTATTAAGTTAGTAACTAAATGTTTTTGAATATTGGAATAAAATAGTTTTGAGAAATAAGTTTTAGTTTACAGTATTAAAAAAGGTGAGAAAATATTATTAAATAAGCAAAAATACAGAATGATAAAAAAAAAAACAGAATATTTTTGATTGATGGAATAAACATATTTTGAGATCATAATTTTTTTTTACTTTAGAAAGTTAATTAAATGTTAATGAATTGAATTTTTTTAATGCAATTAATTTGAAATATAAACTAGAAATAGTTTTCTTTTAAAAGCCAAAATAATAAATATAGCAAACTTTTGAAAAGTGGTAAAAACATTGATTAAGAACATCATAAGAATTTAAGCAAAATAACTATTTACTTTTGCTTACATTGTTTAATCTTAAAAGTTCAAGATCAATAAACATCAAAATGATGTAACAGTTTTCATTTTAAGTAAAATTGTTTAAATAGAAAATGCAAAATAAATCCATAAAATAGAGCTTTTACTTTTTTATTAAATTGAATTATCCAAAACAAATAATAGCTTTTTATCTATTAGCTCTTTTTAATTTTAACTTTTTAATTTTTAAAAAGAGAAGACTCTCTATAAAAAAGGTTTTGATAAAAAAAAAAAATATTTAAACCACTAGCTAAAAAAAAAAAAAGTTCTTAGTGGTTCTTCTTAGCTAATGTTTCTTCTCAGCTAGTGGTTCTTCTCAGTTAGTGGTTTAGTTAAAAGTATAGATTTGATTTTTTCTAAGAAAAAAGTAAAAATTTACTTTTTTTTTAGTGGGTTGCTAAAAAACTCATTTCTTTTGGATAATTCAAAATAATATGCTAAAACGACTGTAGGTGAAGTACTGTCAAAAGATATGCTAAAATGGCTGTATAGCTGTAAGTGAAAAGATAGTTAAAAAATATAAAAATTATTATTTTATTTTATTAAAAGATTATTCATAAATATTTTTTTTTTTTATAATCAGTGTTCTTTGTGGATTATCAAGCTTTATAACAATATATTATGCAAACACAATAAGTGTAACGCATAAAGGTTACGCTTACAAAAATTAGGTGAAAAAAACAAAAAATTAAATTTGACTCATCCAGAATATAACTTGATTGTCTAGTTTTCATTTTAGCCAATCAGTGTTGATCAGGTAAAATGTTTTAAAAAAAACTTTTAATAATTATTTCCACACTGCACTTACTAAACCTATACTTAACACTCTGATACTTACTTTGACACCAGGATATAAAGTATAGTAGGTCAATTCAAATCTCACTTGGTCATTTCCCTAAATAAAACCAAAAGCTATATATAAAGCTCATAATTAAGTTATCAATTATCTTATAATTAAGTTATCAAAAATATCATAACTAAGTTGTCAAGTATATCCTCATATAAGTTATCAAGTATCTCATCTATCAACTATCAAGCATGTCCTATGCAAGTTATCAACTATCTTATCATATAAATAAATCATTATATAAGTATTATTTTCAAATTAGAAAAAAAAAAAAACAATAAAATATGCTTTTTTTCATACATCTAAATATGCTTTTTTCCAGACTTCCCACTAACCTCTCACTGTGCATGCACTTTATGGACAATCAATTACAGATTACCCCAATAAGTTATTATTTCTCATTTGAGTCATTCGCTATGATAACACAGGTAAACAAAATTTTTTTTCTGTTGCCAAGTAAACAATTAGTTTTTTTTTAATAGTATTTCTCATTTTGATTTCAAATATGCAATTCATTTTTCACCATCACATCAAGTTGTAAAGATATTTGGGTTCAAACCTTTAGTATTTGGAGTAAAATCCCATTATTGTTGAAAAAAAAGTTATTCAAAAGTATGTCAGCCTGGGTCTCAAAAGAAGCGTATTTTTATAGAGATTTTTCTTTAAAACTTATTAACAAAAAAAAATATGTGAAAAAATGCTAAAGACTCTTTTGCTAAAGAATTTTAACAAAATGTTTCTTAGCAATAATACAAAAAGTACTTATTTTTATTACAAACGAATAACATTTTTAAAATCTTTAGAAAAATACGCTTCTTTTGAGACCCAAGTTGATATACTTTTGAATAACTTTTTTTTCGATAATATTAGGGATTTTACTCCAAATACTAAAGATTTGAACCCAAATATCTTTAAAACTTGACATGACAGTGATTACACAGGTCAACAAAAAAAATTTTTTTTTGTTGACCTGTGTAATTAGTAGTCTGGTGTAAAAGTTTTTTTTTTTTAATTTTTTCTTGAAAATACTTATATATATTTATATATTACTAAAATATAGTTAAAAACTGTTTAAAATACTTTGAACAATTTTCAATAATTATTTACTGATAGCATGGTATATGCAACAAAAGCGTTTATTAAAATCTTAAGTAAAATAGTTTTCTTTTTGCTAAAGTAACATCGTCCACCAGTAAACTCATGTATTCAAAAAATGCCTTTAAATCAACACCTTATTATAGAATAAAACTGAACAAGATAAAAATAAATGATTATTAAGAAAATGATGATTAAAAATTATTGTTGCGGCACTTGTTTAACTAGGGGAGAATGAAGAGGAGGGGGAAATCAAAAACATAACTTTCCCCTTCTTCCCCCCCCCCCCCTCAACATTGCTGAAAAAAAAACAGTACACCCAAATAAACTCTGGGTTATTCACTGAGGTTAATAAAAACTTCAACAATTATGCTCAAACTTGTAAAGCTCAACAACTCAATAGTAGTAGTATTTCCAAAATCATTATTAGAACTATTGTTCTAAAAATGATTTTGGAAATGAAAGAAAATGTAATTTTAAAACTCATTTTAAATTGAGAAGTAACATGCTTCAAAATGCAACAACAATGTTTAAAAAAACAGTACAGTCTTTTACACTATGATGTGTTATTTCACCAAACTTTTTATTAAATAACACATCATAGTGTACTCATTGTTAAACTACTTTAAATGCATTTTAAAGTTTTCTTTTAAATAATCGCAAGAAATAAAATCTTCATAGACCAAAATATGGTTTTATTAATAAACACACTTTTGTAAGTAACAAACTGTCTGGTCATCTTGCCGGGCTACTGACAGACATTTTTTTTAAATTTCAGTCGCCCCAATAAGTTTTCCTATGCCACCAGATGATCATGAGGGTACACCCCTGGATGACTGTCACAAAATTGAAGACTGTCATGCAATTGAAGTCTATCACAAAATTAAATTTCAAGGTCAATAATTTTTGAACTGTTAAAGATGTGATTTTTAGCATTAAATTTTTTTAAAATATAAAAAATGGAAATATATTTATTTGAGATTGAAGTAACTAATTGATAATAATAATGTAAAAAAAAGTATAGATTAACCTTTCCAGTTGCACCATGTGAAACAAATGCAGCCTTTTCTTTTAAAGCTATTTGTATTTGTCTTCTTGCAATACAGGGTCTTGCGATTGCTAATTTAAAATTTTTTTTTAGAAAAACTTAAAAACTAAAAAAGATTACAAGTTAAAAATAAAAAGATTCTACTTTTGCTAAAAAAATTTTTTTTTTTATTGTAACATTTACTGTTCAGCAATGCTGTTTTTTTTATTGTAACATTTACTGTTCAGCAATGCTGTTTTTTTTATTGTAACATTTACTGTTCAGCAATGCTGTTTTTTTTATTGTAACTCATTGAATAGATTGATTTAATTAACTAATTTAAAAGTTAAAAAAGACAGAAAGTTATTTTATATTTAAATATAAAATCTTTAAAATTTTTTCATCATACTGTCATCAAAAACATTTGTTTAACGCCTTATTCATTAATTCAGTTTCTTAATAAACTAAGTTGGTAACTAAGTTGGTAATGTTTTTAATTTTAAGTTAGTAATATTTTTAATTTTTAGTTGGTAATGTTTTTAATTTTAATCTTTTACTCTTTTTTATACAACTTACTGCTTAAATTTGTGTTTACTACAATGAAGATATATAATGATGATGATGATGATGATGATGATGATGATGATGATGATGATGATGATAACCATGGTAATGCAGGCCAAGCGTAGAGCGATTTACATACGCCTTTAACAATTTTTATGTAAGCAGTAAGCGATTTTGATTAAGCTACTTTTTATCATTTTTTAACTTTTAAATTATATTATAAGTAAGATAAAAAAAAATTAATTTTAAAAAAAGTTGCATTAATTTTTAATTGATGGTTATGTAAATATATTTGTTACAAAAGTTGAATGACAATTATGTTTGATCTAAGCGCTATCTAAATAAAGATTTAAATAATAAATTTTTTCATTAGTAAATATTTACTAATGAAAAAAACTCAAACTAAATTAAAAGTTTATTTTTATTTTTTCTTTGCTTGAAGCAAAGATCATAAAAACATAATTTAATAAAAATAAATAATTTTATTCTGATGAAAAAAATAATAATAATTTTGATTTAAAAAATATATTTAAGTTTATTAAAATTAAAGTTAATGCTTGGGTTTAACTGTCAAATCTATTTAAAAATATTACTAAATAATACTCAATTTTTCAATTTTATTTGTTCTTAAAAAAATATTAGTTTATTTTTATCGCAATTGTTTTTTCGGTTTTCCTTCCAAAACATTTTTTTTTTTACTCAAAATTAAATTTCAAATAAACGGCTGCATCAAAAGTTTGCACAAAAAGTGAGTTAAACTTTTTTTTTTTAATAACGCAAGTGAAATCCCAACAATTACTTTTTAATAAATGATTCAGTGATTTTAATAACAAAATAATAAACTAGTAATAACTTAACATAATTAAATTTAAAGTAAATAAATTAACATAATTAAATAATTTAAAGTAAATAAATTAACATAACTTTTTTATTTGTCACTCGTTAATTTTTTTTAAAATAAAAAACCATTTGTAGTTGCAAAGCCGCTATTAGAAATTTAAGAAATTATCATTTAAAAAAACTTTAAAATCTAATATTTTTAATTCATTTATGCAAGTGTTGAGAAAAGAAAGAAATTTGTTAATACCAAACATTTTTAAAAATGCAATATTAAATTTAATTATTTAATATCAAAAAAAATATATAGAAAAAAAAACATTCCTTTATCGTAATAATAAAAAAGCTGTTAAATAACATTCAACTCGTTTTGCAGTAATTAATATTATTCCAGTAATTTAAAAAAGTTAATGTTTTAAAAAAAAAAAAAAAAAAGAGAATTTTATGACGTCAAATATTGCGTTAAACATTAGGCATTTTTTATTTAAAACAAGGCTTGTAATGCCACAAAAAACATTAATTAAAGCAACCTTTTTCGGTTTTGCAACAAAAAAATTTCTGAAATACAACCTACCAACTTGGTAAGTCAGCACGCAATTTTATTCAAATCTTTATATTTGGTATTGCAACCTTTACGCAAAATAGTTTTAAACAGGTGATTGCTAGCGCATTATGTTTGTATGCTTTGAGATGAATTTTATGTTTTGGATATATTTTTTATATAAATTTTTATAATGTATTACTCTCATAATATTATTAATAATTATTGTATTAAAGATTTTTTTGTTTAACACAGCTATTATGATTCAATATAATATGCATATATAATATAATATATTTGTTGAAAATGTGTGCCATAAATAAGAGTGCTCAATGTTCTTAAAAATTGGTGTGTGTGTATATATATATATATATATATATATATATATATATATATATATATATATATATATATATATATATATATATATATATATATATATATATATATATATATATATATATATATATATATATATATATATTAGGGCTGTACTGAACTTTGGTTCCGGCTCCTGCTCTGGCCGAAATCGGGCCATTTTACAAAACCGGCCCAAAGCCGGCTCCGGCTAAATGTTAGCAAATCTAGCATAATTTTGGCCGGATTTCTGAATTTTGGTCAGATATTTATAACATGTTTCTTGCCCGTGA